AACATGAAGAGAAGAGTAGATTATATTTTAGAAAAAGTCAATTTCAACAGTAAAAACCAGGTAAAGATACTTTTGTTCGTATTATTATTCTTGTATTTACCAAAACATTAATTATTTTATGCAATAACCTTCTTAATACCCTTATTTCTAGGCACATGCTAATAATAATACGGAAATATCACAAAATTACCAAGATAACTGTGTTCGTATGGTATGTACCTTGGTAATATATTTGAAACAGATAGGTGTTAAATTGATGGATATCAAAAATTAAAATATTATATTTTCAGACTGACACAAACAAAGAAAATAATATTCTGCCATTTAATTCATCTTGTGAGGAGTATCCAGATAAATTATCATTCAACCAGATGGACCAAATTGTTGCAGAGGTAAATACACATATCAATAGTGTCAATAGACATGTTTTTTATTATATTAACATCAGAATTTAAAACTATTCGCGGTATAGAAAAAGTTTGGACTTACGTGGGTAAAATCGTAAAGAACAGCTGCTAGTATTAGGTAGTTACCAAACAGTTTCCTCACGGTAGATGTTGTATGTACTTTGACTTTTATATTGAAATAATTTAATCCAATTTTCAATTGTTAAAAATTTACTTTCAGGTCATCCCCGAAACAAATAATAAATCGTTAACGGATAGTCCTTCCGTAATAGAAAACTCTCCAAACCGATCCATTCCATGCTTTGACCCAAAGGTGCTTTGTGTAGCTGACACCAACAAGGTGGGTTTTCAATTGACAATTTAAATATTATGTTGTTTATTTCTTCTTCTATTTAAATGAAATAATATTATTTCCAGCTACAAACGAAAACGCAAATCCAGGAATTTACTATAGTTTTAGAACCAGAGTTGAACAATTCTGAACAGTCACATGTACCTACTAATGAAAAAGAATACCCACCGTCAAAAAAGTCATATCGTGATTCGTCAACATCATCTGACAGTACTACTTCTTCTTCGAGTAGATCTTCATCATCATCGTCGTCGTCTTCTGATGCTCACACCAATTTTGACAAAAATACATCAAATACCCATTTATCCATAGATGGGCCTTCCACATCCAACTTGACGGGTCAAGTTACACGCAAAAATACAAAGAATTACCATCAGTCACCCATTCATTCAAATGAAAGTGATGTAGACTTAAGTGACACAGACCCAACTTATACTCTTAATAGCTCTCGGTCTAGAAGAACTACTCGTTTATCCAGCAGCAGTTGTCGTCTTCAGCCAACATTACCCTCGAATTGACTAAAACTTCCGAGACAACTAGAAAATCAAGAAAACGCATACGAAATCCATCAAACTGGAAGCAAAATGTTGCAAAAATCTTAAGAAACACTGGAAAGGCTTATGTTTCATGTACCACTAAAAAGGAAGTATCGGCCCGTGTCATTAAAGATGCTTGTAAATGTAGACTTAAATGTCCAGAAAACGTCGTTGATGCAGACAGAAAAACATTGTTTGATAAATATTGGTCATTAGGCAACATAGAACTACAAAGATCTTTCATACGAAATTGCATGATGGAAATTAAGCCAAAGTACAAATATAGTAATTCTGCTAAGCCTAGACTACCGAATAATGCATTTTATTTCACAATAAATAACACCCGAATTCGGGTATGTAAGACTTTCTTCATTAATACTCTGGGAATATGCGATCGTCAGGTCAGAACAGTAAAAAAGAAGACTGACCCACAAGGATTCTTAAATACCGATATAAGAGCACGTGTCAAGACAGCCTATAGATCCAGCACTCATTGAGAATATTAAACAACACATAAACTCAATTCCAAGAATGGAGTCTGATTATTTGAGAGGAGCAACTACCAGAGAATACATCATTGGGGATAGAACCTTAACTGACATCTGGAAAGATTTTGATAAAATTCAAAAACAATAAGGTAAACCTTCTTGTGACTATTGGGTCTACTATGAAATTTTTACAAAACAATTTAATATTAGCTTTTTTCAACCGAAAAAAGACAGATGTGATTTATGTCTAGACTATGAAGTTGCAACGGTGGATCGGAAAACAAAAATAAAAGATAAATACGATGAGCACCTTAAAGAAAAAGATTTGTGTCGCCAAGAAAAACGCCTAGACCGCCAAAACATCAATGATACATTCATTTGCTCTGTTTATGATTTACAAGCCGTCATGCAGTGCCCTACCGGAGACATTTCTTCGTTTTTTTTTTTACAAATCAAAACTCAATTGTCTAAATTTCACTATAGTAGAATTAATGGCTAAGAAATCAGAAATAACTAAAAAACGTAAAAGAAATGAAGAAGGCAATGACAATGACATAGGTGCTTACAGTGACGTGTACAGCTACTTTTGGGATGAAGTGCAAGGAAACAGGGGAGCTAATGAAATAGGATCGTGTATTCTAGACTATCTGACAACTTAAATGAACAGAATCCGAATAAAAATCTTCATGTCACTTTTTATTCGGATAATTGTTGTGGACAGAATAAAAATAAGTTTATAATAACGTTATATTCCTATGCAGTTACTCATTTTGCAAACATAGAAACCATCACACACAAATACCTCATCAAGGGACATACACAAAACGAAGGAGATAATGTTCATAGCTTGATTGAGAAAGAAGTTAAAAAAAAAACAAAAAAGGTGGACCAATTTACGCACCATATCAATATGTAACTCTGATTAAAAATGCACGTAAGAATGGGAAACCTTTTACCGTTAAAGAGATAACATACGAGTTTTTCACTAATTTAAAGGCACTTCAAGAACTATGGGGATATAATTTCAATGAAGATGATGATAAAAACAATGTTATTTTGAACGACGTAAAAGTTTTGCAGTTTAATAAAGCCGAACCATTTATCTTCTCTTATAAAACTTCGTACAGTCAAAGTGAGTTCAAAAAGGTTAACATAAGGAACAAACGTAAGAAAATGATGAGTCCAGAAGAAATAACTGTGACCAAAGCATTTTCACAAAGACAAGAGTTAAGTGAACGTAAGAAAAAAGACTTGCGCGATCTCATTAATAAAAACCTTATTCCTAATTATTACGCAGATTTTTATAACTCTATACTGTAATTTTTTGTTATTATGAAAGTTTTAAGTATTAAGTTCCAAACAAGTTCCTTAATGATTGTGATAAGCTATACCTAATTATTAGGCAATTTATATCAAAGATTTAACTTTTGTCATGCAAAGTTTATTGGTAAATTATTTACCATGGTTGTGATGATTGATAATAATAGATTATAAGATAAAAGTAGATTTTTAAGATAAAACTCTTTGTAAGTTTAATTTTTAATAAAACATTTTATTTCAAATGTTGTTTTTATGTATCGAATATAAAATCACCTTAAATAATTTAACTATTATAGTGTCTTATTTGTGAATGTAACGCATCTTACAGTCAAAACTCAGAAATATAGAGACCTAAAACATAAAAGGTCTTTTTAAAAAATCCAATTTCATTAAAATAAAAACCTAAATGCACCATGATTTTAAAATGTTTTAAATATTATAGTTTTATTTATTTAATTTCATTAATTTATTTAAAATGATCTAGGTAAATAACTAAAGTTTGATATAAAAATAACAATTTCATAATATTTTCAAAATTCAGTCGAATATCTTTTGTTTTCCACAAGATTGATAGACTTGTGAATCTTTATGCCACGCTTACCAAAAATTTGCGTTTCCTTGTTGAGTCTCTATAATTCTAAGGGTGCGATATATTCAGATGTGTTCTGGTGGCCTGCGGTGAGAGGGGTGTCCTCTCCCTCTATCGCTGCAGCTGAGGTGGAATCGTGGAGGAAGAGGAGTGTTAGTATGGCAATGCACCATTCGCCCTATCATCCGCGACTCAAACGGTGGCGCTCCGTTGATGCGGTGGTGGTTGGGCTGCAGAGTAAGAGTAGTGCCGATATTGAGACGCGGCGCTCTTCCTACCCTTCGCAGCCGTATTTTAGTTGGCGGCGGAGCCATAGACTAGATCCGCCGCTGGGGTCAGGAAGGCTAGTGCTTCTTTTTCCTGGCCCCATGGCCTTCGCGCATTGGACACAGGGGTGTCCGTTGGGCAGGTGTAGTTGGAGGCCGTGGAGGAAGGCGCGCCATGTGTTCTGGTGCGCCTTACTTCAGAAGGAGAAAGGGGAGGAGTAGTATTCTTCCGAGGAGGTGGGCCAGCGTGGGTGGGGCACGGCATGTGTGTAAAAGCGTTCCCGTAACTCACTTTCTCGCCCCCGCAAGGTGGGTATGCATAGGCATTTCCGCATGTTAAAAAAGGCAAGTTTTGGATGCAGCAAATACCTGGAGAATACTCTTTACTTGGCATTAGAAAAAAATTCTCACAGATCGCTTATCTAGAAAACTTTGTAATAAAAGAAAACATAATCTAAGTATAAAATATTATCCATCATTCAGCTACTTATAAATATAGTTGTTATTTTTTTTATTTAAATATTGAAAAAAGGTATAATGGCTTCATGCAAAGAAGAATTTAAGATGAAGAATATAAAGTAGGATAGAGAGTTATCTTTGAGTTAACACATTCATTCATTTTGATATAATTAAAATGAAATAACACTCACCTATCAAGAACACTTATTAATCTTTCTGGGCATTCTGGGTAATTATCATCCCAGAGGCACCTATGTTCTATCATACGAGGCTCTGTTACGAAACCAGTGCATCCCTTTACTTTTGTTTTTGACTCCATTGCCTGTTTGGCACATAAAATATCAGTATAACATAAAATTCAGATCATTTAAAAAATCATTGCCCTAAATAATGTATAAATATTTTACTAATCTATAAATGCAACTAATTTTTATGTGACTCATTCTATTCTGAAGGTTAAAGTTATTTTATTTAGTGTTTTTATTATCATCAAATCTTATAAATGGCTGCCAAAGTAGGTAAATTTACAGGTTAATTACGGTTAATCAATTTAGCTCTAACTGGCTGACCTTGAAAAAAGTTAAAATAATTAATACAATATAAAATAATTGTAATATTGTAAGTATAGAAAGAAGTATAGTATAGACAAAATTCCTCATATGAAACAATCTATGGGGGAGGCCTATATTCAGCAGTGGACTTTTATAGGCTATAATGGGACGCACGCACGGAAGTTTACATTAAAATACAGTTTTTTTTAAAGGAGAGGGTGACAAACGAGCACACAGTCCACCTGATGGTATGTGGTTGCTGCGGCCCATAGACATCTACATCTACAACTACAAAATGCAGATGCGTTGTCACCCGTGAGGGCTAAGATGGAATGCCTCGTTTCCAGTAAAAAGGGTCTCCGGTTCTCTACACTCACCATACGAAACACAGCAGCATTATGCTACTAATTTACACTGGTATTCTTTGAGGTTTTGATTTTGTGTTATTTTAAAATATTTTAACTTAGTAATTAATAATAAGAGTTTTAACTAAACCTTAGATAAATAAATAAATTTGTAAATTATATTAAAAACTTACAATTTGATAGTGATCTTTTATTACTGTATCAACCATTTGTTTCTTTTTCTGTTGAGCTTTCTTCTTGGCAGCAACTACTGAAGCTGAAGGCTGAAATGACATTAGTTTTGTTGCACTCATTAGGTATCTAAACAACCATGATAAGAAAGATAATAAATGTATCTTTTACAAATCACAGTAAAATTCTGTTTACATGTACTATTAAATGATACTCAGACTTTTTTTGTTTATATATACAAAAACTATAATAGTGTAAGACTATTTCAACAATTTTAATAATAAATATTTATTTATCAAATAAGACAATGCCTAATGCAAAAATAAATAAATATACTTTAACATTTATTATAAAGCGATGTGATTTTTGTAAGATATATTTAAATAAAAGTATAACAGGCTATATCTATTATACTGCTGGGCATAAACATCCCAATTTTATGAGCATATTATAAATAAAGTACAATCCAAAAAAAAAACTGTGAACTTTGATAATAAAAGTGATTATCATTCATACTTTAGCAGTGACCGACATTGCTCGTGTTTGAATCTTCGCTTTACGTGCTCCATTTCTAGTAACTATTGTTGAAGGGGGTGTAGATTTTTTACTATCCCCAGCTGAACGTCGCTGTTGATGCGGTGGCTGCGGACTGGACTGAATCATTAAGAAAATATTTATTTAAATTTTGGAAGTCTTACAAACATTATATTTTAGGTTGTGAAATCTAACCATTTTAAAATACGACTGTAAACGGTTAAAAGTTGTAAATTTTACTGTTTTTAGTGTTTAGAATTAAATAAATCAAAATATTATGCGCATTATTTTAAACATTATTACACAATGCGATCAATGAACGCAGTGTTTTTAAATTGAAAGACGAAGACTCTTGTAATTGCTTGTAATGTAAATAGTAAATACCATAGATTACTGCCTATATACTAGAGACTGGTAAATACACTGAAATACACTCTTATCTATGATGTAAGCCACGGCCAATGTAACTTTTTTATTAATTTGCTTTACGGCTCTGGGTTCTAGCCCTTCTGAGCCTATCATTTCTTTCGGAATCTTCATTTTAATATATTTTATCTTCACAATATTCTGATACGTCACATTGTGAAGTTATTGGGAGATGTTGACAACAGCTTAACCCCGCGGACTGTTGATGACGACAGCCACTCAAGTTCATAAGGCGTCCAAGCGATCAAATTAACTTGAGGTTTATATCCACATCAAAGCACTTGTTTCGTCGTTTTCTCTAACAGTTCACACGCGCGCAGACACTTAATTTACAAAATCGCATAACTTTACTAATCAAAATCCACTTCAAACCATTATTCAAGCGACAAAACAGGAGCGACAATCCGCTGACGGCAAAAAAAAAACTCAAGCCAATGTAAACTTTCATTGAGGCCATGGAGCATGAAGGTTAGAGAACAGGAGAACGATCACTACGTACTAAAGCACGTAGAATGTATAGCGGCGCTGACGTCGGTGAGTAGTGACTGCGAAGTTAGCTGTTTATGAGTACAAGTAGATGAAGTGAATTTAATAATGTACAAATTTTCATTTCATTTTTATTGAGAAAATTTTTATGCTCTGTAATTTTGTAATTTTTGACAATAAGAAACATTAAAAAATGACTTTTATTGAGCGAACTTAGCGATCGCAGCGCCTCACTTATGGTGTCCATATTTCTGGAACACTATTTTCTACGGTGATCGTTCTCCTGTTCTATAACCTCCATGGCATGAAGATTAGAATAAATCTAAGCTAATATAATCTTATAAATTTAATCTTCATGACATGCTATGCCGCGGAGAATATTTGTACACTATTCAACTAACTTCATCTACTTGTACTCATAACAGCATACTTGTACTCACAACATACAGCGACTTCGCAGCCACTACTCACCGACGGCAGCACCGCTGAACTTTTACCGAAGAACTTTTTATTCCTTCCTCTGTGGTGCCTATCGGAGTCAAATCTCGATCGTGGTTTGGTCGCACCTGTAAAATAGCATCATGGTATAAGCAGGCGTGGTACCAAGCCTGGGCTGACGCATCAACGTCCCGGGATGTAAACACCAGCGCTCTAAAAAAGAAGTGTAATTACGCCTTCAGGTACTTCAAAAGAATCATTGCGAAGGCAAAGTCAGAGCATATAGGCAGAATTGGTGAGAAACTAGTTCGCCTTCGTTCTGGAACCCGTGCATTCTAGTTTTTCACCAAGGCTGTCCAGGGGAATTTCTGTCAGCCATCTCTTCCATCTCTGCACATATGAAAGAAAGACAAAGATTCTTCAAGAAAGACAAAGAAACGTCTCCGAGTACCGGAATAAACTTGTGTCTGAAGTCGAGTCTTTGCTAAATCTCAAATCTAGCCCGGTTTAACCCTCAGAAGACACAAGTTTGCGCGTTAACCGCTAAAAACAACCGCTTTGTCGTATCTCCTCAGTTTCAAGGCACTCCCCTTGTTGCCTCAGCCAGTATCGGAATCCTCGGTGTCGACATATTGAGTGACATGCAGTTTCGGGGTCACTTGGAATAGAAGGCCAAATTGGCCTCTAAAAAGCCTGGCGTGCTCAGCAGAGCGGGACAGTATTTCAGCCGGCACACCGCCTGCAACTTTACAAGGCGAAGGTTTGGCCGCATATGGAATACTGTTCCCATCTCTGGGCTGGGGCTCCCCAGTACCAGCTCCTTCCACTTGATCGCATCCAGCCCAGAGCGGCTTGAATCATCGACGACCGAGTGCTTTCCGATCAGCTCGATTCACTGGCGCTACGAAGAGATGTTGCATCTCTTTGCATTTTCTTTCGCATATACATCGGGGAGTGCTCTGAGGAATTGTTCGGATTAATCCCAGCCGCCAAATTTCATGAACGCACAACGCGGCAAACGTCCTGATACCATCCACACCGTCTGGATGCTTGGCGGTCCACCACTGTACGTTTCACAAGGATTTTTCCTTCGCGTACGAACTCTCTGTGGAATATACCACCGGCGATTTTTCCGGGTCGATACGACCTAGGGACCTTCAAGAAAAGAGCGTACTCCTTTCTAAAGAGCCGGCAACGCACCTGCAATTCCCTTGGTGTTGCGGTTGATCATGGGCGGCGGTAGTCACTTAACATCAAGTGAGCCGCATGCTCGTTTGCCCCTTCTTCTATAAAAAAGTCGAGTATCATACTTCTTTACAAGAAAGGCGACCGTTTGGATACGAACAACTCCCGGCCTATCAGCCTACTTCCCGCTGTATACAAATTATTTGCAGCCTGCTTAAATAAGAGAATAGAGACTGAGATAGAGTCACATCAACCCATAGAAGAGGCAGGCTTTAGAAAGGGCTTTTGCACAATCGATCATATACATACTTTGGAACAAGTAAAACACCAGGAAGATCAACAGCCCCTATATCTAGCCTTTATCGACTACGCAAAGGCCTTCGACTCTATCTCACGTAACAGCTAACAATTTACAGAGCTTAGAATACGTAGAGAGCAACATATACCTAGGAAAATCCATCTCATTTCTTAATTTTAGAAACAAAGATGAGATTGACAGGAGAATAAACATGACATGGAGAAAGTTCTGGAGCCAAAAAGAAATATTTAAGTCTAATCTACCTGCAAAACTGAAAAAGAAAGTCATGGATGAATGTTTACTACCCTCCTTGTGCTCAAAAAAAAGCTCAAGTGGAAGTGGGCTCGCCACGTAGCACGACTGTCAGATGAAATATGGACGCATTTGGCCACAATATGGGCAGGTTCAAGTGGCAAGAGAGCTAGAAGACGTCCCAAGGAACGCTGGGTAGATGATATCAAAAAAATATGCTGGAAACGACTGGACAAATAAAGCCAAGAAGATAAAATCCTGGAAACTGTTGGAGGAGGCCCACACCCACCAGGGGCCTTAACTTAGCTATACAAATGTGCATTATATATTAATCTGTACAATCTTATTATAATCCAAAAGTTAATTTAATTTTAAAACCCTGTAAATTAAGGAAAATAAAAGAGGCTTTATTATTATTATTATTACTTACCGGGGTGGGGTTCCTTGCGGCCTCGATGACGACGCTCCTGGTCTTGTGTGTGGTGCGTTGGAAGAGCGGTGCGGGACGATAAATCGCACTATGGGAGTCGGTTACTTCTCGATTGTTCTGTGCCGCGACTGACGACAGCTGGTGCTGAGACAACTAGTGGTTCTCTTCGACTACGATGTAAGAAGGGCGAGAGGAGGCAGTGCGCGCCCGTATATGGGTCAACCATTTTACCACCTCCATCTTGGCGGGGCGCGTTTTCATTGGCCGAAAATCGCATCATATTCTACAACCCTTTCAGAACTGAGGGGAGGCTTGGGCCCAGCAGTGGGACGTATATAGGCTGTAACTTTACTTTACATATAGATGTCACTACACATCTTTATGTTAAATGATTTATATATTCAGCTCAATTTCAACACGATTCTGAATATAATGTTACGAGCTTGAGGTTCGTGACAATAAAAATTGCCGATAAAATTACCTAAATTAACACTTTAATTTACTTTACACAAATTAAAGTTAAAAACACTAATAATTAAACACACTAATTCACTTTATTCCACTCCGAAGCTTCGCTTGTCTCGCCAAATCAACACTGCCCCGATCGCATCTTGCAGCGCCTATTTATATAAATTAGCAAAGAAGCATCCGGAATATTCAAGTAAATGCGCGCAAAGGGACGAGTGTGCGAGTGTAGATTTTCTAGAAACTTAGTTCTTCGGATGGCGCTGTCGGTTGAGAGATTTGTGATGTCATTTTCTGCAAAGCTCCCCTCGCTCTCGTTCCTGACACTAGATGGCGCTAGTTGACTTATTCACACAACACTGCCCCCTCCTAAGACATGCTCGTCCCAAGCATTATCGGTCCCATAATAACGCGCCAAGCGATCCACATGGACGATCTTAGGAGTCCCTCTTGCGCCTTTCTGTATCCGGTAGGTCACATCGTTGATCCTGGTTACAATCCGGTACGGGCCGTCCCATTTAGCTTGAAGCTTAGGAGATTTCCCTTTGCTAATTTATATAAATAGGCGCTGCAAGATGCGATCGGGGCAGTGTTGATTTGGCGAGACAAGCGAAGCTTCGGAGCGGAATAAAGTGAATTAGTGTGTTTAATTATTAGTGTTTTTAACTTTAATTTGTGTAAAGTAAATTAAAGTGTTAATTTAGGTAATTTTATCGGCAATTTTTATTGTCACGAACCTCAAGCTCGTAACAATTGGTGTGAGAAGTGGGATTAAATCATGCCGATTTTACATAAGGAGGAAACAGAGGGTGTCCGTACCCGAAGTCAACGCCAGCAGGAGACGGACCAAAGAAGATTTGGTGGTGCAACGCCACAGACGTAGGAGGGCCAGCCACCAGCTGCAGGCCCGTCGGTAGCTCCTACATCTGCAGCACCTGACTTAGGTGCTCTGATGGTGATGCTGGAGGAACAGGCCCGTTGTTTAAAAGAGCAGCAGGAGGTACAGGCTCGCCGACAGGAGGAACAGGCTCGCCAACAGGCGGAACAGGCACGCCGATTGGAAGAGCAGCTGCGGGGCGGACAAGAGAAACAGGCCCGTCGGTTGGAAGAGCAGATGCTCCTCATGAAGGACCTTCGCGCTACCTTCGGGAAGGAGATAAAGGAGGTGAAGGATAGGGTTGCTCAGCATGACAACCGCCTGTCGGAAGCTGAAACCCA